TTTTTTTTTTTTTTTTTTTGCTTGAGCAGAGGCTGTGCTTTTTCAGGCTTCCTGTGGTAAAAAACCATCTCACGAAGGACATCCCTGGGCAAGCCCAGAGAGCAGTTACTGCTACTTCTGGGGCCAGTGGGTTTAATCGATGAGCTCTTCACCATGATCATTCTGTTCACGGCTGTCTTCCAAAAGAAAGGACATGACTTACAGCATGTTGGTTTGTTAGCCAGGACAAGGGCAGAGGAGATAACGATTTCCCTCGAATTTGAAAATACTTAACTTTTCGGCCCACAGAAGACTGCCAAAGACACAGGCTTTGCGCTTCCTAAATGTTCTGATCAAAAGGTGTGTCAGTTTTCAGTGCCCAACAAGAAAACATGGCTGTGATTGGCTTTGGTGTAAAGAAAGAAAAGACTGCCAGGAAGGAATGTCCTTCCATTCTTTCTAAGTCATGGCTCACTTTTGGGTGGGTGTCCTGGTTAAACAAGATGCTGTAAGTTCCCCATTGCTCACACCATCTCCTTCACTGTGCCGACCAGCGGGACCCCAGTTCTAACGCCTGTCCCGTGGTCTTATGGTCGCGGCTGTCACTTCTCCTGCTCCTTAAACATCTTGTTCTTTGTAGCATTTGCTGCACCCTGCACTAAGCATTAAGTGCTTTCGCAAAAAAAATGGAACTTGGAATGAAATGTTTCATTGCTGTCATGTATGTCTGTAGTTAATAACCTGCCGCTCTTAAGGCCGAGAGCTTTTTGAACAGTAATGCGAGGTAGGTATCAATGCTGCCTTTCAGTAGGAGCTCAAGAAAAGCCAATTCTGAGAATCTTAAGAATAAAAGTATTGAAAATTTCCCAAAGGACGTCCTGTGGGAGCAAGTTCAGCACCGTGGCCATAGAGAGGGGGGAGTTGGCAAGGCCTTTTGTGCTTAGCAGTTTTCTTCATGCCTATGAGGGCTGCTTGTGAGTGCTTCCATGATGGCCACTCTTCATAGGAGTCTGACACTGATGCCCCACTGTTGCCCTAAGAGGAAGCAAGCCCCTCTAAATATGAATATTTTGAAATGATATATGTGTATATATGTTTCTGCAGCAGATCTAATCTATCAAAGTGATGCAGCTCTGGGTTTTTTTTAATTATTTAAAACATTTTCAGAATAGGGCTACGTGCTAGGCTATCTTCATGCAGTTGATGTGACCTAGAAAGTTGAATGTCCGTCAACCATAGCCAAAACATTAAGGGAGAAACTTTTTTTTGTCCCCTCCCACTCTGCCTCCCCCTCCTAGCTCCCTCCCTCCCCACACTCATGTCCGATGCCAAAACACCAACTCTTTTTCTTGAGTCAAGTGAAACCCCTCTGTTGACCTAATCAGTAGTGACCCCATGGTAATCTGTATATAAGTCCAAAGGCACACTGGTCACTGTGCATTTCAGAAATTTGAGATGCTGCCCGCGGGCATAATGCGAACAGCATGGATTTTGGAATCAGACATACGATGGATTGGAATCTCAGCACGTGATTCGAGGCAGGCCCTCCCCTTCAATGAATATAAAATGGGAATGACAGCATCTGCCTTGCCGGCTGGGTTGGAGGCATTGGCAAGATAATGTCTGTGAAGGCCCCCAGCACATCAGAGGCTTTCAGTAGGCCATGACCAGATACATTTCCTAATAAAGGAGGAGGTGGGCCCGTGACTTCCGTGGAACCCAGTGATTTGGGGTTCCTTTTATGGAGACTTCTCTGATAATCGATTGCAGCAAGGACTGTAAGCATTGGTGTCCTCATGCCTTCCATTACGTGTCTGGTTTCTGATACACGGGGATTCATGGCTACTTGCTTGCGCTCTAGAATGCAGGTGCCATGAGCTATCTAATTAAAACGTCCTCGAAGCTCTGACAGCAGCTCATTTTGTTGCTTCAGTCCTGTCAAGGTGGGGGCTTTGAAATGACACTATCATGAATCAACATGCTGCAGATACGCCCAGTGACGGCTCCTTTGAGCATTTACCGGTCTTGCTTTCTTGATGTGTTCCCTCCAAACTGAAAGGAATTACAGTTTTCCCCAAAGGCAGCCAAGTAGCAAAAAAGGTTTGGAGAAACTTCATAAGTTTCAGGATGTGGAGTGATGTGGGTTTTTTTTTTTTTTTTTTAACATCATCTTTGGATCTGTATTTCTTTTTTGTATGTTTATAATCAGCTCCACAGTGTTCATTTTCATAAGCGCTGTTCATAGTTAATCCCAGCCTAATTTCGGTCTGTCCAGGTATACTCCCACCTCCCAGCTTCGCACACAAGAAGACGCAAAAGAATGGTTACGGTCCCACTCTGCAGGAGGCCTACAGGACACCGCTGCCAGTTCCCCTTTTTCCTCTGGCTCCAGTGTAACTTCTCCCTCCGGAACAAGATTCAACTTTTCCCAGCTTGGTGAGTAGCCTCTGATCATTAGCTGCGTTGATCAGTTCCACGGGGCAGAGGTTACTCTCCTGTTGTGAAAGAGGCATGTGGTCACATCTTTCTCCGTGTCTGATCAGCCCTCAGCAATGTGGTTTGATTATAGGAGATTGGTGGCAAAAGAAAGAGGAAAAAAATAGAAGAGATTTTGGTACTCTAGTCAGTAATTCATTTACGTGTTTGATGTAAGTAGGGTAGTAGCAAAGAGCAAATCGTTCCGTTTTTGAGAAGAATGTATTCCATTTCTAAGAGCTCTGAAGATGTAAGTTTCTATCTGAAGAAATAGTAGCATACCCCATGTTTGGTCATCTGTATTGCTCTGTTAAGCTGGAAAATAAAGATCAGGTTTTGAGTGAACAACTATTCTTGGAAATGCCTACCACTGACATAATGCTTTGACTGGCACAGTGGGGAGAGGAAAAGAATTTGTAACACAGTCCCTGATGACATGTTAATGGATTCTTTTTTAGAGGAACAAACACACCCACACAGACTCATAAATAGGGTAAAAGAGAGCAACCCAAAGCTTTATATGAAACCATGTAATAAAAACTGAATATGATCAGGTAGCAAGTATTAGAGAAGATCAGTCCTGGCTAGAATCACTGGGAAGGGGGGCACCTGGGTGGCTCAGTTGGTTAAGCGTCCAACTCTTGCTTTCGGTTCAGGTTATGATCTCGTGGTTCACGGGATCAAGGCCTGTGTCAGGCTCTGCGATGACAGCACGGAGTCTGCTTCGGATTTTCTCTCTCCCCCTCTCTCTCTGCCCCTCCCCCACCCAAAATAAATCAGTAAACATTCCTTAAAAAATGATTGGAAGGATGGGAGCTCACTCTTCAAAGACTGATGGGGGGGAATCATCTTGCTCAATCTCATCTCACTCTTCAGAGGGCAGCCTTTTCTGAATATTGTGAATAATAAACACGGAATCTTTTTTTTAATATTTATTTATTTTGGGGAGAACAAACGTGGGGGAGGGGCAGAAAGAGAGGGGGACAGAGGATCCGAAGCAGGCTCTGCGTTGACAGGCTGACAGCAGCGAGTCCTATGTGGAGCTTGAACTCCCGAAATGCGAGATCATGACCTGAGCCAAAGTCAGATGCTCACCTGACTGAGCCACCCAGGTGCCCCAAAACACAGAATCTTTAAAGGACAGGTGTGGCTTGTAATCAAGTGAGGCTTGACTTTTCATTTTTAATTAACTGTGAATGGATACTTTGGAAATACTGTACTTTACTGAAATGGAAAAGGACTTTAATTTTAAAAGCTCGTTTGAGCCAAGGTGGATGTACCCCTTCGCACTGAAGCTCTTTTAGGCACCCTTACCAAGTGGGCCCCGTTGGAGGCAGTGAGACCTGTGTTCATATTGTTCCTTCCCGGAGTAACTCTTTGAGGCAAGAGTTTCTTGTCATGCACAAATGCTTCCCGTCTGATCAAAAGCCTGCTTGGACTATTTTGGGCTTTGGCTTTAGAGGGAGTTGTTCCAGATGAGCCCAGGGAGTAATTAGCTCATGCCTGGAAGGTGACACCAGCTTGTCCGAACGTGCCAAATTGGAAAGCTGAAGCCCAGAGCCTTGCTTTGGAACTGACCCACCTTTCCTCCCTTATTTTTAGCTCTCAGTTTGTTATTCAAATGCTGGTGTGACTACCTTCTAGAAAACAGACAAGGGAGGGAAGTTGGCATGGACAGATGTGGCTGATACCAATCAGTCCCCTCACTGTCCCCATCCAGGATTTGCACAGAGACGTGAACTTCCAACCTTTCAGTTCCTTTCCTTTTATTCCAGCAAGTCCCACCACTGTTACCCAGATGAGCTTGTCCAACCCAACCATGCTGAGGACCCACAGCCTCTCCAATGCCGATGGGCAGTATGACCCATACACTGACAGCCGATTCCGGAATAGCTCCATGTCCCTGGATGAGAAGAGCAGAACCATGAGCCGCTCGGGGTCATTCCGGGATGGGTTTGAAGAAGGTAAGCAAGGAGGTTTACCATCTGAGGTTATGCAGTGTGGTTAATTGGCCCTCCACACCAAGTTCATGACCTGAGAGCCCACCTCTAAGGGTTTGCAGCCAGCTATCTCACTCACTCTGGGGGTTGGGGCTGGGGAACTCTGAATAGCAGGGTCTGGATCTTCATTGACCTCGCAGACTTCAGGGAAGAGGCTTCTGAAGAAACATGAGTGAACTTGGAGCTGACCAAGTTCCACTCTGGGCTTCTCCCTCTTGGACTCGGGCCACAGCTTCTTGGCATGTGCCTCCATCTTGAGGTTCCGCTGCTGGCTCACCATGTTGGCAGAGTGAGTTTCTGGAGAGTTAGTGCATTTCCCTGTGCTGACGCACCCTTGTGGCTCTGGGGGCCTGTGGGCAGCTCCAGGAGTTTCTATCTCTCAGTTTATTAAGTTTATTCAGTTAAACCCTTTCCCTTCAGGTATGCCCTTTTTCTTCTTTGCTCACAAATTGTGAATACGTTGGGTCGGACCTTTATGTTTTGTTCATTTTAATCAGAATTTTGGGAGAACATAGCTGTGGGCTTCTTTGCCAGCTGTCTTCCTAACTCGGTTCATCTCTCTGTCCCTTTGTTCTTTCACTTAAGGTGGGAGCTAGGGAAGCAAGCAGTCAAAATGCTGTGGAGGGGCATCAGCCTCACCCCTGAAAAGCTTCCTGAAGGTGGGAATGACAGGACATTAGAATCAGTCCTCATTTGACTAGTGGTTAAAAAGATAGAGGAAGACTTCGAAGGTCTGAATCTAGCACTCCAACTTGGGTATATGATCTTAGATGGGTTGCTTCGTGTCTCTGTACTTCCTTTTTTTGTTTTTTGTTTTTGAGAGTGGTAATAGAAACCAGCTCATGAAATTATGAGAATTCAATAACATATACAAATGTTAACCCAGTAACGTTATTATACATCCATACATCCTAGGCTGTAGACTCAGTGTCAGCCGAGATGTCTTGGCAGCTAGGCAACTAGGAGTCCCTAGCTAGGGGATGGGGACTCCCAGAGCAATTGAAGCCCAGGCTAAGCCCATAGCTCTGGTTGTGCCTTGTGTGTGTGTGTGTGTGTGTGTGTGTGTCAGTGGCAGAAGAGAATGTGGAGGAGGGGAGGGTGTTATGGGTGCTTTCCTCTACTCCCAGCCCCTGTAAGAGTGGGAAAGTATATGCCCAGCATCCTTCTGGGAGGAGAGAACAAACAAACTCGTCTTAAGAAATCCCTGAACAAATCAAGAGGGAAAGAAACCGAATAAAAGCTTCTGCTTTTGCCCAGTGTATACTTGTTTACAAAAATTTTAAGAGTTTAGTTACAGGGCAGTAGCCCCCTGGTTCATCTTCCTAGAGACTTCAGTCCCTTCCTTCACCCTGATTTATGCGTCACTTGTGTCCAGTGACATCCAGTGAGTGACAGGGAGCAAGTCTGTAAATCCATATTTGGGAGCCTGCTGGGACAGAGGATTAAGGAAGGGTGGAGCCTGAGTTCCCAAAGAGTGTTTTGCTGTATTGAAGAGTTAGAAATGAGCTCTCTAACCACTCAGGGCAGTAGTAATAGTGGATATGTTGACCCTAAGGTGAAGGAGTAGGCGGTTTGTCTTGAACTTTTTTCTAGTCAACGTGCTGGCCCAAGCATGGCCACAGAGCATCCCCCAGCCCTCCCGGTGACGATTCCCATAGGGAGTGGGTCCTGTGCTCTATTCATCTTCCCTGTCGTGTGTGTACCTGAGTACACCGTGTTCAGAACTGAAACTTGTCCAAACAAGCAGACTTTGCCTCATAAAGATCCAGAACCATTACAGTATCATCATCAGAGAGCTTTTATTTATTCCATCTGGAATCAAGCTGTCAGGCAGCACAACCGTTGAATATCTGGGATGTCAAAGTGACACTGATAAAAAATGCTTGCCCACAAGCAGTGTCTAGACTTTTGTAAACCCTAATGATTCATGGTGATGTGGAACTGAAGGGCAGAGGTAAAACTCAAATTTGAGAGGTAGAAGGTAGGGACTGCTGTCGATATACTATGAACACGTAACAATTTTATCTTTTGGGAAATTTTGCATCAAATTGATTTTCTTTCTTCCAGGGATATTACATTACGAAAACAAAATAGAGCTTGTGCAATTAGGTGTTTTCAATTCCGCTGGGTAAAGAGTCCCGCCCCCCTTTTGAATTTTTAAATCCCCGTGTTGTGGAAACAGTTGGGGGAAATTTTTACATCTCATGTTTGGGCCAAATAGAACCTCCTTACAAGAGTCCATTAGGTATATCATCTGCCAGAAAGCAGGATAGAAATTTAAAAAGAATTAGCACAAGTACTTGTGTGAGGTTTTTGTGGGATTTAATTAGCACTTTCCATTTTGAAGGAAGTTGGAATCATAAATATGTAGATTAGGTGCAGGCATGGCCCAGATGCAACCTTTCAAAGTTATTTCAGGTAAATTAATTTCCATCAGATGCATTATGCACTCAGAGTCAACTTTAATAGCGCACATTTAGGGAGATGCTTAAGGCATTTTTAAAATGTATGTCTTTGGATGAAAAAAAAATCCAGGGACTTTACCAATCATCCCTAATTGCTAGTGCAATCTAAATCGGTTCTTATGGAATCCATAGGAACAGAACAGCTTGTTAATAAATCCTTTTTTTTTTTTTTTTTTTTTTTTTTTTTTTTTTTTTTTTTTTTTTTTTTTTTTTTTTTTTTTTTTTTTTTTTTTTGCAATTTACTTGTGTTTCTAGCCCCTGAGTCGTATTTGTGATTTAAATCCTGTCATGTCTGTTGTTAGCCATGAATGAGACCTTGGGTAAGGGACTTGGCCCTGTTCAGCCTATTTCCTGTTCGCTAAAAGGTAGAAAATAATTGTACCTCCTTCAGAGGATTGAAGGGAAGATTAGGTGAGATAAATCCCGGAAAGCATATAATGCAAAATGACTTCGAAAGAGGTTTATAGCAAGTATTCAGTCAGTGGTGGCTATTGTTAAAATTGTCATGTTTGGTTTTATCCTCCTCCCCAAGGGCCATTTCATTGCTGTTTTATTTATGGCAAAATCCAGGCAGAAGAAGTAGCCTGGGGGCTAAGGTCCTAAGCTCTCGATTCTAAGCCTTCTGTTTCTCTATTCAGTCCTACCTTGACATTTGGCTCTGCCTTGGTCACAACTGGGCTTTTTTTTTTTTTTTTTTTTTTTTTTTTTTAACCTGATCCTTCCTCAGTGTGTTCTCTGTTTTCATTTATGCTCACCTTCCAGAGGGTGGTCCATTTGTCATCTGAACGGTGTCTCCTTGTCATCTGATCGTACCAGCAGTGGAGCAAGAAGTAGGATACAATGCCTAGATGCACATTCTCTGCTCCTGACTAGCTGTGTGTGCTTGGCCACGTCACTTAGCTTCTCTGGGTCTTAAATGACTCTTTTGTCTCTTAGTGGTAGCCACTCCTGCGCTGTCTGGGAATATTACCTACAAATTCTGTGTGGTGATGGGGATCACTTCAAACAATAGTGTAAATGAGAAAGCGCTTTGATTAATATGAAGCTGAATATATATATATATATAT